TAAAGTTTTTAAAAACGAATGGGTCATACGAGATGGAATAAGTAAATTAAAGTGCAATTGCTTTCTCAATCCGCTCTAAAGTGCTGGAATAAAGTGCGTCATGGAGGTATAGCCTCAGATTCAATGCTAAATGGTGCGTTAAAACAAATTAAAGTGCTGAAGCTCACAGGTTGTTAGTTTAGATACCACAGAGATGATGATAATGGTAATAAAACTACAATTAAAGTGCTAAACAGGTAAGGGCTAAAATACTCGTCAGCAGTAGCACTATTAGTTCTTAAAATCTTCTCCGGTCACTAATATAGGTGTTCTTATTAGTGCAATGAGAATGGTCAGCACAGTTCGCAGCAATTCACAGAATCAGAAGAGATCAACACAGCAGAATAATCAGCACACTCTGTGGCAGGTTGCACAATCGAAGGGACAACACAGAGGAATTAGAAAATGGACAACACAATCTGTCAAAGTTCTATCAAAAATGGGAACCAGCAAAATACTACAATAATCGGGCCCAAAGATGGTCAATACAATCTTTCCGGAGTAATAATTAGCAAATGAGAGGTGACGATCTCATATGATGGCAATCTCGTATGATGGCGGGAGGTTACCCACCTCTAGGCACGATGGTCAATTGCCCGCGGCTAAATATGATGTTTGTTGTCCAAAAGGGGTTAATCACTCCCAAACTAACCAGATTTAAAGTGGCTTAGTGCTAATGGTAATCCTAAAGTGCAAAGTTAGTGCCTTCTGACTTGGGTCCAATATCAATAGTCAGTCAGGACGATAATTTCAAAGACCAAGGGACCCAGCTCCCTGGACCCGTGAAAAACAAACCGGCGCCCTTGGGCCCAGTCCCTGGTTCTTCTTCCTTGTCGTCCTCTGAAAAGATGACCCAATTCATGGGAAGATGGCAGTCCAGCTAGTGAAGACTAAAACACAGTTCGGTCAGCACAGTCAGTCAGTCAGATAATATCAGCACAACTCGATCGACACAATGTGAAGCACTTGGTCAGTGCCCAGGCTCCAGGCTCCGGAGGGCAGCGTCCAAGGATGACAAAGGATGACAAGGGACGCCAAAGAGATATCTTAACGCCCTCCAGCAGCCGGCTCGGGCTAGGAGCCGATAAGGCCAAGCTGGAGAACAGGAGGCCGATACGGTGGAAAGTCAGCCCCTCTTCAGTTGCTCCGCGCCGCTTGGAAGACGTCGGGGCCCCAATAGATATCAGGGTCGTGGGCGGCAGGTGGCTGCCGGAGGCAGCCGCGGGACAAGTCAAGCAGCGCACCAGGCCCAGACCGCGCCAGCGCCGGATGGAAAAAAATCGCGGCCTGCTTCTTCCAGCAACTCAAGCGCAACCTCCAGCAACTCAAGCGCAACAAGGAGTCCTGGGAGCAGGCTGGAGATCTTTATTGCCCCTTCACAGCAAGCACAGCAGACTCAGTCCCTGGCAGGCCTGTGGGCTCAGCTTTATAGATGTAGAGGCCTCCTTGCAGTTGCTGAGTCACACCCCACTGGAGGAGGCCTGGGCTGCTGGCTACTCACAAGGAGTCCTGGGAGCAGGCTGGAGATCTTTATTGCCCCTTCACAGCAAGCACAGCAGACTCAGTCCTTTTATATATCCCGCCCCATCTCCCCAGGAGGACTCAGGGCGGCTTACAACATGAAATAATAAACAATAAATTAAAACAAAGCAAATAAACATTACAAACATTCAGTCATAAAATAAATCATCATGAAAGTCAACAAGAGCAAACCATCTAAGCTGTCAGAAGATATCTGAACAACAGCACTTCTCTACTTGTATGTTTTTTGCTTTCTAGACAGAAAATTCTGTTAAGGAAAAATCAATTTCTCTCACCTTCAAAAAGGTGTCCTGATTTCAGCCAGCACCAACACTGGTGTAATACATACAGCCTCCATATTCCAAATATACTTGGATTGTTTTGGCTGCATCTGAGATATTCATTAGGTCAGGATTTTACAATATCAGATGATTTTCTTACACCACTCTCCCTCTGCTTTGAATGTACACATGGTGTGACATTAATTATGAGCAGTTGCATTCTAGTGTAATGTATGAACAGCATGCAATATTGAAGAAAAATGCCTGTGAATGCTAGATACTTTTTAAACATTCAAAGAATGAGATCATAATAATCTGTTGTGTAGATGCATTATAAATGCCCATGTTTGAAATGTGTGTTCATGGAATTATCGTAATATTATCAGAACTAGATCCTGATTTCTCTGAGACACTCCTAATCTATGAGCATTTAACCTTCAGTCCTTCGGTCCTAGGGAGTCCAGTGGACAGATCAAAAGGAATCCATAAATTACGGTCGAAAACCAGCTTTGTTTTCCTTTCCAGTAGTTAAAAAAATGTGTTTAATAGCATGGGCAGGGTCCATTGCTTTCATCAAATTCTCAAACGGTTCTGTGAGCCAATAAAGATCAATAATGGTTGCCCTATATAGTTCCTCATAGACTAGGCTTTTTAAAATTTTGCAACCAAAGAGGGAGGACAGTTGGGATGATTTCCTTTTAGATACATTTCACAAGAACTAAAAAGGAGCAAAAGGGAGCTTTAATCCCACCAGTTCTTATTCAGCATTCAGGAGTGCAATACACTAATTCCACCAAAAATCAAGCAACCCTCTATTAGAAAGAACTGAGGTGTACCATTGATGAGACATTGTTCCAATTTCACAGCAATCAGTTTCACTCAAACAGAGGAAAAAACATCTATGCCACTTACAAAGGTCATCCTGTTTCTTCTTTAGTCATCTCATCAAATAGTTTTCAAAATAATGCAATACTGGGCCATTATGTGCATTTATATTTCTGAACATTAAACAGCAACAATGATTACTCTCAAGCATTTTCTTCTGAAATCATAACAGCTAAGGACATTTTCAATCCTGAAGCTCAAACATCTCCATTAATTCAAATTCATTACAAATGAAGTGACACCATGCATTTCAATAAAGAACTGAAATAAATGCAGGAAAAAAGCTGGAGCTAAGAAATGGTTTGGTGACTCTGCCTGACCTGGTGTTCAGCCTCCAGCAACAAGAACCCACCTTGTCCAAGGGCTACCCTGACAGCATACATCGTGAACATTTAACTGCCCGTGAGACATATACTTCCAGGTGGCCACAATGATGCTGGCAAGACACGCAAAACAATATGCTTAAACCTAAGAGAATCATATTAAAACTTATTTTGAAACAGAACAGTCAGATTTTCTGTTGGGCAACCTCTGCAAGGAATAAGTAGCACCTCACAATAGCACAAGTAGGAGCAAGGAAAGCAAGGTTGGGAAGCGTTGGAAAGTTAATTACACACATTCCCACCTTTAAAGACCTCAAAGCCGTATTTTATTTTTAAATTTTATTTCTTGAACTCACATCTGCCTTTCTCTTAAAGTGCGATTTAAGGAAGTGATTAGACAGAAATATAGTAGATAAAATGGCACATGTTCTCTTTATGTTTTTTGCATCATATGACTGCTGATTCAAGGGTAGAAAAAAACATAGAAAAAAATTTCACAACGTGGGCACAGTTGGTCAGGACAGAAGGTAAAGAAGTCAATTTGTGTAAACCAAAGAGAACATTTAGCAAGGCAGCCTGTGCCAACAAGTCAAGCATCTGAACATTTGCTGTGCCACTGCTCCTGTATTGCTATGGATCCTTTCAACACTGCATCTAGTCACAAGACATCATCAATGACATATTGTTAGTCAAGTAAACAAATCAAGGCTAGCTTTTCATATCAGGGAAAGAAAAGTAGAGTACTGTACAAGAATAGAAACAGACTGATAAGTACCGTTTTCTAATCTTAACTGCTGACCTGCCCACATTTTCATGCAGAGTATAGAATTAAAGATGCCCTTTAATTTTATTAGTTTTCTAATAAAAATTATTGACCAGTAAAACAAAGTTCATTCTCTTCCAGTGTTTTAAATTATCCATTTATAGCTGATTATATCTTTACTGCATACATGTAAAACAGCTACAAAAATATCTGTACAAATCTCTAATAAAGAGAATTTGGGATTTTTTTCTCAGCATTTGTACAAGTTGTGTTGCTGTTAAAGTGAGAATAGTTTGTTTTCTTAATATGGGAAATAAAAAAAGAACAGTCCTCTTTGACAGACAAATCCTTCTAAGTAAGATGGTTCAGTGTCCATTTCACCAGAAATATACAGTAGCTTAATAAAAACTATAGTGAAAATGCCCATGTAGAAAATAATTAGACAATGCCTGATATTTAAATTATTGCAAAGAAGCCTGCCTGTGAAATGCTGCAATTTCTTTTGACAAAGGAATACAACCTAGTGACCACACACACCTAAACTAAGTTAATATAATCAACATAATTCATGCACTGATGTCAGATGCTTCAGAATTACCTTATATATGGAAGTTTTGCCATTTCCTCCTACCATATCAATTTTCTTCTAAATCAACAGAACTGACAGTTGCTATCTCAGAGGCAACTGCTCTTCACAAATGAATGATACCACTTAATCTTGCTAGGTGCAAGTCTGACATTTCGTTATTGTCTTTCTACCCAGAAATATCAAAAGTTGTGTATGATAAAGTAACTTTCTGCCACATTCCACCTGAGACTACAGGCATATAACAGGGGAAGGAGGTGGCAAATGCAAGGTCCAACACAGGCAAAATAATTTAGTAGTTACTGTTTTTTATAAAGTGCTTTGACATCATCAGTAAAAGAAGGCGCTAGGTAAGCAACTACTGCAGCTGTTGGCATTCAAGACATGTTCTCATGCATGGCTTTAAGCAGGGCTTTTGCCTAGCTGGTCTTGGTGAGTTAGGCTAGATAAACAGTAAAAGAGAATATCAAAGTGGAGAAAGAAGCAAAGTCAGACACACACTTGAAGAAGAAGCAGACAAGTGGCAATTCTATGCAGTTGAAGGAAGCATTAAAGTAAATGATGCAAGAAATCCAAGCTGCGATGATAAAAAGTTCTGGTACCTGCACGTTGGGATGGAGCGGGAGCAGGGCTTAGAGTGATCACAATAACTGGATTGGGAAAAGGAAGAAAAAAACACGATAAATCACAACAGAAACAATCAAGTCATTAAAATGAAAATAAATCATATTCAAATCGATTTCAGGATAAGGAATGGAAGTGGTGAGAAACCAACAAAAGGGACAGACAAGGTAAAAAATGAGATGCATCAAACAAGTCAAGGCTCAGGTTCACAGAGGCTGTGTCCCTCACTATTGCCCAAAAAGGGAAGGAAGCCATCCTTTCTCAGCTTGTATTCTATGAGCCTGCTCAATTGAACATGGCAGGATTCTAATCCCTCATGCAACCAACTATGTTGATGGGCCCTCTTCCTTCTGGGAGGCAAGGTCCACTCATCAGAGCTACAACAATCTACTCCTCAATCATCTCACAACCATACACATGTATTAGCAATATTGAAAAGCACCGTTTATTGCTATTTTTTCAAGAGGCAGTACAAAGTGTGAAATTGCACAAAGCAGACTAAATTACAGGCCCTAACCTCAACAATTTTAGAGACCAGTATTTCAAACTTCTAGATACCTGAAGAACTTTAATCTTTTATATTTCCATCTCTAGTCCTACCATGACACTTCCTTTAAAGTTCATGACCCTACAACACTCTTTCAACAGTATACAACATTTTGTGTATGTGTACATTTCCAAAACAGAGAAAATCCTTAAGATCATCTAAACTAAAAGCAACAAAGAAACAAAACTTTAAAACATTCGGACTATAGTAAATACTTGTAGTCCAGGACAACATTCTTTGATAAGTTGTTCAAACTATTAATTGACATTTCTTTCAAAACCTTCTTTCTCCAACTAGTTTTGTCAAACTTCTACATTTTTACTTTAAAATATTACAGTTTGCTATTCCAGAAACTCCCAATATAATAATAGACTTCCTCCAACTATTTTTGTCAAACTTCTATACATGAACTATTTTTTACTTTAAAGTATCATAATTTGCTATTACAGATACTGCCCACATGATATTAACAGACTGGCTCAACTGAACAAATACTCTTAGAATAATACAATTTTGTTACGTGATGAACATAGGTGGAGTAGAAATAAATCCACTAAATTAAAACATATGCTACTCTGAGTTTTTGAAAAATCAGAAAGCAGTTTATGAAGTGTTGGTGAAGACGGTTGTCATAATGAAATAAAAAGAGAGACACCACTATGTTGCTCCAGCAGCCTGTGTGTCTAATAATCGCACCGACTCTCTTGGTCATTTGAATATAAAAAGTTCATTAATAGGGATTGGGAATATGGAAATTCCTCACTTTACGAACTGGAAGAACTTCAAAACATTGTTATAGTGGTATCTTATTATGACTTAAACTTCTTCGCATAAATACACTGTTGTGAAAGTATGAAAATGAAAGATTAATACATACCTAACAACCTGTCAAACTGAACTTTATTCATTATAATGATTTATAAACTTTTAGTGTTAACATAAAAAGATCTGCATAATCTGCTAGTTTTGGCAAGATAGCTTTCAAATACTATCATCACAAATGGCATTTACAGAATTTGAATGTTCTCAGTCAGAAGAGCAAAAGTCAAGATAAGTAACTCAAATGAATAATAGTTTTATATTGCTTAGGTTATTCAGAACAAAAAAGAAAGAAATCTGTTGACTAGAGTGAAAAAGAGAGACTTCAAAAAAGTTTATTATTCTGTATGCTGAATATTGAATGGGAGAATATGCAATTGAAATTTGATGTTAGTGTGGAGCATCAAATTTCAAAAGGATATTCGAAAACATTTAAAAGGCAAAACAAAAGTGAATAACTTTTTTCTCCATTTGAATGTTCTCTAACTTAACCTACTTTAAAATAAATTTTCCTATCAGTGGTCAATTCTTATTTTTAAAACTATTTCAACAAATATTAATTACAAGTACATAAAAACTTATTATTATGATTTACTGTGGAGATACCTTATTGGATGCCCTATGCAAATACTGCCAGCTAATTTTAATTCTGGCATTTTATTCCAATTCTCCCCATTCTTTTATTGTATTAGAATACAACATTACTGTATTTTTATTTTGAAGAACAATAAGGATAAAGGGATATGGTGTATTATCATAGACACACATCAACACCACCCCTGCCTCCGAATATCAATACAAGACTTCCGGATAACAGGAGATCTAGAGATGGGGGGGGGGGGGAGGATTTTGGTGAGTGAGTTTCAGTTGAGACCAACCCATACAAACACATCTAAGAATGCATAATGGTGAGGTCGTTACACGCCAGCCCTGCTCCAACTAACCAAGTACCACAATCTAAACTTTTCTGTGATAGGACCACGTGAGATGGGTACCAGTAAATGGGCATTAAATTCATTCGCACAAGAATAGCCCAAGCAAAATACCGCTTTATATGGGAAATTTCTATTTACATACAACAATAGCCTATAGCAGGGGTCCTCAAACTAAGGCCCGGGGGCCGGATGCGGCTCTCCAAGCTCATTTACCCGGCCCTCGCTCAGGGTCATCCTAAGTCTGAAATTATTTGAAAGCACACAACAACAACAACAACAACAACAACAACAACAACAACAACAACAATCCTATCTCATCAGCCAAAAGCAGGCCCACATTTCCCATTGAAATACCAAGAAGTTTATATTTGTCAAAATTATTATTCATTTTAATTATTGTATTGTTTTTAAGTGTTTTTTGCATTACAAATAAGGTACGTGCAGTGTGCATAGGAATTCATTCATGTTTTTTCAAATTATAATCCGGCCCTCCAACAGTTTGAGGGTCTATGATCTGGCCCTCTGTTTAGAAAGTTTGTGGACCCCTGGCCTATAGAGTATCTTCTCTCACAAGTGTCAATAGTACAAGTTGGATTCATCCACAGTTGATATGCAATATAGCCTCCAATGCTGTTCACATATACTTTATATATATCAGGTTAAAAGTTTAAATGCTCCTCTCTTCCTTTTCTTCCAATATATCGTGCTTTAAATGAGGCTTCAAACGTAAGAGGTTCCCAAGGTGTAGAAACAATATCTCAATTGTTGACTTGAAAAGTACTGAGGAATGGATGCACTCTTCCTTTTAGTTGACTTGAAAGGGAGATTCTTCTTCCTCTTTGTTAGTGACAGATACCTGCAGTTATCATGTCAACAGCTAAAGTATGTATCAAGGTGGCCCTGTTCATTCACTTCAGTGTCAGGAGCTGCCTCAGAACTTTGGACTATGGAGTAGTCAAGGGCCAATTACAATAATCAGAACTGGGCATAATCCCAGATGTCCTATCAGAGATACTGAGCTAATTATCTATCAGAAAGTATGTTCATTTTCAGTCAGTTCACCTTAGCCATACTGCTATTAATATTGTTTCCTATTCCTGGATGTAGAATATGCAGTTAGAATAATCTATAATTAAACATTTTGTAATTTAAAATTATACTAAGTATTGATAGTTATCATGGTTACTGACAGTTCAATACAATTTCCATGTCACCTATGTGAAACTAAGTCATGCCATAAACACTGATATTTTGATGTTAGTGTGGAGCATTCTTTTGCAGCCAATGGTAATAATAAAAACAGATATTAATGCCTTCCTACAAATTTATGATAGTGACTTCATATACATCTATTGTGTGATAACTATTGTGTGATAACTAAATAAATAACTAAACATACAATCCATGTCACCACAACTCAAAAAGAATAGTACAACTTCAAAAGGCGCAGAAAGGGCAATCAAAATAATAAAATAATTAGAGCCATTTCCCTAGGAGAAAAAGTTACAACATTTGGTTTAAGAAAACAAAACCTGGAGAAGTGGTAAGCAGGAAGGCTCCTGATGTGTATACATATAAGCAAAGTGGGCAAAAAGCAGGCAGGCAAAGCTTTTCATCTTCTCATATACTACTAAAACGCTGGATTATTCAAGCAAACCAAACTGTAGGCAATTCAAAACAGACCGGACAAAACATTTATTCACACACCAAATATTTAAATTAGGGAATATGCCACCACAATATGCAGCAATTGCTATAAATGTGAAAATATATAAACAGGAATTAGGTAACGTCATGGAAGATATAGTTATCACTAACCAGTCATTTTGGAGGCTACAAACTACTTCTAGTATCAAAGGAAGTATATATTTCAAGACCAGTTGTTGGAGAATATAAATGTGATAGCAATACTACATTTACATCCTAACTAAGGGCTTCCCATAGAAATGTGGTTGGTCCATTGTAGGAACTACATGCCTAACTTGATGAGCTTCATCCAAGTAGCTCTTCTTATGTTCTTAACTTATTCTACATCTGGCTACTGCATGCGGATCGCAAAAACATCACTGTAGTCCAGAAAAGTCCTCACAACAGAGAGCACCTTGCTCCAAGAGACAATATTAACTAGACTGTTCTTCAAGGACAATGCTGTACCATTGTTTTCAGAACTGAAAACAGGATGCAGGGAAGCAGAGACTCTTTAATTTCAGCCAAGGAAAAAGGCCTATACTGTAGGTATGAGAAATCAGAGGAACACTGTCTGACACTTACACTCAAGACTTTTCTAATTCTTAAGTTAGAATTTAGTTCATTATTCTAAAACATCTGTAAACTTTCATCCATACAAAAATATCAGACAAATATGACAGAATGACTCTGAACTGAACTTCACTTGTAGCTATTTCTGCACACCAAACTTTCAATCCACCCCCAACCCCTCCTTCCAGTGCTGTGATCTGAGGGATCCCAAATCCAGTTCTCCCAAGTAATTTGTTTCACTACACCAGGGTTTCTTAAACTTTTCCCACTTGCAACCTCTTTCTGCCTTTGAAAGTTTTATGCAACCCCGGCTATAAAGGTATATAAAATAGGTATAAAAAAGAAATAAAAATTCACAGATAAAAAATCTGCATTTACAAGGCTAGTTAAACAGTCTGATTTTCCTTTCTTATGAAATGCAGCTGAAGTATTTTCTGTAGAGTCCACTGTAAACACAAATGTTCTTACTAACATTTGTGTAAATGTCTAAAATAACACTGACATCATGAATTAACCTTTTATTGGGTTGCTGTGAGTTTAATGAGCTGTATGGCCATGTTCCAGAAGCATTCTCTCCTGATGTTTCACCCACATCTATGGCAGGCATCCTCAGAGGTTGAGGGGTTTGTTGGAAACTAGGCAAGTGGGTTTTATATATCTGTGGAATGTCCAAGATGGGAGAAAAAACTCTTGTCAGTTGGAGGCAACTGTGAATGTTGCACTTGCTCAACTTGATTAGCATTGAATAACCTTGCAGCTTCCAAGTTTGGCTGCTTCATGCCTGGGGGAATAGTTTGTTAGGAGGTAATTAGCTGGCCCTGATTGTTTTTTGTCTGGAATTCCCGTTTTTGAATGTTGTTCTTTATTAACTGTCCTGATTTTAGAGTTTTTTTAATACTGGTGGCCAGATTTTGTTCTTTTTCATGGTTTCCTCCTTTCTGTTGAAATTAAGGTTTTCATTTATTTATTGTATCAGAAGCAGCCCAAGGGTACAGTTGCAATGTATTTAAAAACACAAAGTTAAAAAAAAACACAAAGCATTATATTAAATGTCCTTTGACAGTAGCTTGTCACTTAGAGTGCCTATTAGAAGGTTCTCCATTGTGCATGTGGGAGGGCTCAGACTGAATTGTAATAGGTGGTCTGTGGTTTGCTCTTCTGAATTCACTTTGTGGCCCCATTTAAAGGTGATCAGTTTCAACATTCCCACCTGCCTCAAACAGACAAGAGTTTTTCTCCCAGCCTGGACATTCCACAGATATATAAACCTCAGTTGCAGAATTTCCAACCTCTGAGGATGCCTGCCATAGATGTGGGCGAATCTTCAGGAGATAATGCTTCTGGAACATGGCCATACAGCCTGGAAAACTCACAGCAACCCAGTGATTCCGGCCATGAAAGCCTTCGACAACACATTGACCTTTTATTGTTGCTAAATGTTGTGATCCCAACACTGAACTAAGGGGACCCCCACATCTTTAAAGAAAAAGTATTTCTGATTGCCACCATCCACAACTCCTGCCCCATCACAAAACACATTGGTTCAAGATAATCTCTTTATCTGTATCTGTATCTGTATACTTTCTGTGGCCCACCCCTTTTGCTCCTGACACTTCCCTTCCTTCCTTCCTTCCTTCCCCCTGAACCCGTCGCCTTGAAAGATAAAGGCCAGTCCAGGCATGTGGCTCTCCCGCCCCACGCCCCACGCCGGCCCCACGTCTGCTATGAGAGTCTCCCTCGCCACGAAGATCTCCCCACGCACACACGCCTTGCTCTCTTTCTTTCCCCGGCCTCACTTCTCCCCTCACTCCTCCTGCCCCGCCAGCCCAGCCCGAGCCCCTGCTTAAGCGAGGCCAGGCCTCCCCTCGGCCCAGTCGCCCTCCTCCGCGCCGCCCGTCCCACCCGACACTGGGCCCTTCCGCGGAAGCGCTCCCCCCTCAGGCCCTCCCTTACTAGGCCGAGCCCGGGCCGGACTGATCTCCAAGTTGAGGTCGATGCGCCTCCGGGCCTCCCTGTTCTCCTGCTTCAGCTTGGCTTCCAGGCGGGACAGTTTCTGCTCCAGCGAGGACGCCGCCATCTTCCCCCTCCCCCTCCCCCGGAGCCGACGCCGCCACCGCGCAGCCAGAATACACAAACACCGGACTGCGCAGGCGCCGCATGAACCAACCCGGCCGCCGTACTCCTCCCCCCGCCCTTCTCCTTCGCAAACCAGGCTGGGCTCCGGCTTTGCCCGGCGCTTGTTTTGCCTGGCAGTCTCCCCTCTTGCGCATGCGCCGGGCTCGAACGTCTACCTCGGTCTACGGGACGTGTTGGAGATCTGCCGCGCATGCGCTTCCCCCACTTTCACAGGGACAGGAGCAGCACGTCTGGAAGTCGCAGAGAAGTTAGCTTTTCTTTCAGACACTGGGTACATCTGCACTGGAGAAGTAATGCAGTTTGATACCACTTGTATGCATCCTTTATTTCTGTATTTTATTGTTTTTGCCAGGGGGTATAGTGAATGTATGATGTTGTGTTGACTGTTTATTGTTTATGTTTTGTTTTGCACTTGTTGTATTTTGCATGTCACACTTTGAGTGACATGTGTGAGCCGCCCCGAGTCCCTCTGGGAGATGGTGGCGGGATATAAATAAAAGTGTATTATTATTTTACTGACACAGTGTGTCACAGCAAACGAGATATATATGCTGGATTTCGTATCACAAAATCACAAATCGAAACACTTGTTTATTATTATTATTTTTAAATAACATTAAAAGTTGAATATAAAGAATATTAAGTGATATTAATTTTTATTATTATTTGAAATGCAACAAGATGAGTCCATAGCAGACACTCTGCTGGCTGCTGTATTGGATCACACGTCGGACATTTCCCAAGTGTCTAGGTCTGTGTGATGTATCGGCATATAATGCGTGCAGATCCCAGTAAGGTGGCCTTCTGTAGCTAGCAGATGGTAATTTTCTCAGCACCGATTGTGTTTAAGTGCAGACCAAGGTCTTTAGGCACTGCACCCAGTGTGTCGATCACCACTGGGACCACCTTGACTGGCTTGTGCCAGAGTTTATTATTATTATTTTGTGATTTGATGAAGCACCAGCAGTCTTTGTAAAACTACAATCCCCAAGATTCTGGGAAAACATAGGGTTGCAGGAGCTTGGAGCAGAAGTGGGATCATCTTGGCTGATTCTAGCAAACCTTTTTGGCGGGAGAGGCAACACAGTGCTGTCTCTGATGCCCAAGTAGAGAAGGACTCCCCGGAGGCTTTGTGGCCAAAATGGTGATGCAGAAAGCAGTGTATCCGCTTGAGAGTCTCAACCTTTGCCTATGTATTTTTGAAACCAAATTAATGTTGCGTGTCAACTGGAAATTAAAACCAGAAAGTCAGAATGGAATATCCTTGGTATGTGTCTCTCTTGCCTGTAATCCTGAAAAATAGCATATTTGCAGTTCCAGTTCTGTACACATTTCCTCCAGATCCCACTTGATGAATCAAATAGGAAGGCAAGAAATAAAAATGAGGAACAAACAACTTGGTACCATTTTTGACTTCATAATAAAGTGTCACTGGGGATCACAGTCTGTGGCATTTGAGAAGCTGCTTTATATGCTGTCATTGTGAGATACATCGGATACCAATAGATGCCTCAGTACATATTTTTTGTAACACAATGATTAAAGAGCCCCAGTTTGAAAGCTCAGAGAACTAGGTCTTTGTTAGTTGCTTTGAATCTCTGTCTCACATTTTTAAAAGGGGAAGACTGGACTTCTAATAGAAAAGGCATATTAAGAAATAGTGCACCATCCAAGAAAAAGAATTGCCACCAAGCTGTAGTTACAGTCTCTTGGGAGCTGGTGACATCAGGAATCACAAAATTGTTAATATCATTAGTATTATGATGTTTATTTATATCCCACTTTTTCTCTCCATAAGGATACTCAAAGCATCTAGCATTAAAAGCATTACAATATAATTTAAAATTTAAAAATATTAAAACAGTATTAAACATCATCAGTATTAAAAACAATTCAGATTTAAACCATAAGAATATATAAAACCACAGCACCCCCCGAAATGATCTTAAAGGCCTTCTTCTTTAAAAGCCTGCCTGAAGAAGAAGGTTTTAGCCTGCCGCCAGAAGGACAGCAGGGAGGGAGCCAATCTGCCTTTGCTGGGTAGAAGGGAGTTCCAGAGTCGTGGGGCAGCCACCGAGAAGGAAGGCCCGCTCTCTTGTCCCCACAAACCAAGCTTGGAGTGGAGGTGGGACTGAGAGAAGGGCCTTCCTGAAGATCGCAGGACTCAGACAGCTTTGTACAAAGGCACGCAGTCAGCCAAATAGCCTGGACCTGAACCATCTAAGGTAGGCATGGGCAAACTTGGGCCCTCCAGGTGTTTTGGACATCAACTCCCACAATTCGTAACAGCCAGTAGGCTGTTACAAAATGTGGGAGTTGGGAGTCCAAAATGCCTCGAGGGCCCAAGTTTGCCCATGCCTGATCTAGGGCTTCAAAGGTCATAACCAGCACTTTGAATTGTGCCTGGAAATAGACAGGCAGCCAGTGGAGTCTGGTGACATCTGAAAATACTATACTATGTTATGCTAAGGTACAACAGTAACATTGAGCTCCTATGTATTAACAGTACTTTTAGTGGCAATAGACTTTCCCATTAGTAAAACCGACTTTTTTATATTCCTGTAAAATTTTCCTTGTGTTTTTTTTTCCAAATTGGGTACATTGTAGGAAGTTAATATCATGTAAGAAGCTATATCTTACTTTACACCACACTACTAGTCCATTAGTAAGCTTCCTCTTTTCCAATCGCCTTAATAATTGCTAGGCTGCTGCAGTGTTTTAGTGACATTTCTTCGTATGATCTGAATGTTTTTCCCACTTAGGTCTTTCAGTGACACAAGTCTCATATATCTTTTGCTCGCCTATTGTGTCTTAAGAATTTATGGAAACATAACATTACCAAAAATTGCCCTGACTGGAAGAAAAAGAAAACTTAAAACCAGACAGATGTGGATCGTCTTGTCTCTTTGACTCTTTTCAAAAGAGTTGAGTTGTTCTGGTGTGTTGTCCTTTATGATATTGGAAATGATGGGTTTGGTGGAAAGTTTAGAGTCCTTATTCAGTAGCCTGGAAAATGTTACTTTTTGGACAGCGAGTCCCCAAATCCCCTTGCAGTTGATTTACTAAAGAGTTACTTCTTTAGACAGCAAGTCCCCAACCGCTTCTGCCAGACACTTGTGGGTGTGGGGAGATTCTGGGGGGTGTCCCATAAAAGAACTTTACCAAGCTTTGATTTGGGAAGCGTTTGTGTGTTGGTAAGTAAGGTAAGAAAATTATGTCCTCTCCAGTCTCCAATACCCAAATCATGGTCAAGATCAGCATCTGAAGGGCAGCTCCCACTCATTGCTGAAAGGAAGATGGCAAAGCGCCATGAGTATAGTTGGTCACACTGGTCAGCCATGTGCAGCAGGAAAGCAAAATCATTGTATACCTCTGGGATGTCAATTAAGTGGCTGCCTTCTTGCATTTGCTTAAAAGAATACTTGAGCAGCGGTTGTCGTACCAGCCATAAGAGGGGGTACATCCCAACAAGCCCATAGAGGAACACCAAGAATAAATAAGTAGCCATCAGTTTCTGCAAAATGGAAGCCAAACTATGGGTACAAAGAAAGGTAGAGTAGCCAATGAGGTTATCTGTGTCTAACCAGCAAATGTGTTTAAAGGCAATGGATCCTACATAACTGTACGTGTAGCCTAGCACAGTTAGGACCTTTGCAACTTTGAAGATGGTTTGTCCAGTGTAGACTGTGTAAATCAAGCTGGCGCTCTCGGTGTGTGCCCTGAATCTGCAGATCTTCTCAAAGAGTGCCCAGCCTTGCTCTTTGTCCTTCCATTCTAGAATAGGAGAAGAGGAAGGTGATATCAGTTGGTTTTGGCACCCTCCTGCAGCAGGGGTCTTGGGTCGGCCTATGACATGCTGGCAGGCCATCTCGGAGAGAGCCTTGGCAGTCCAAGGTGACTCGAAGCATTTCATGAGGATAGACAAGAAGTGTTCGATTTTTGATGAAGTCTTAGGGTACCTGAACCAGAAGTTGCTACTAGCCATTAAAAGCATCGAGTTAACAAGTGCAAGGTAAGGGAAATATTTTGAAAACCAGGGCAAGGCCTTTTGATAACAGATGTGGCTGATAAACAAGTATTGCTGGTAGTCAAGTTTCACAGGATGGCCACTTTTTCCAGCCATAATTTTTTCATTGATGGCAGGATTTATAGCTCCAGGTTTAGAGGTAACTGTTGTGGTCTCATTTGGCTTGTTGCTCAAAGGCAGACATGTCACTTGGTCAACAGAGATGAGCAAAGTCCCAGAGAGAAGAGAAACCATCAGCATTGCAAGTACTAAGTAATCCATCAGGACATCCCACCAAGGCTTTAATATCTGGAACCGAACATGGCTCTCATTGCGGAAGGTGACTTCTGTCAGAGTAAACATCACTAGAAAAAAAAGAATATGAATTCAATAATGTCATTGTTTTTCTCTTCCATTTTTCACTGATAAAAGAGCCTGTGTGATTCTATTCACAATAAGAGCCCAGATCTGTGTTTACAACTGGATTTTATATTTCTAGGAATTTTCTCACAACCACCTCTCTTGCTCCCAGGCTGTTTATGAGTTAATGTGTGTGCCATTTTCTACTATAGCCTCCATTGAAAATTTACAGAACCTTCCGTGCTCATTGCATTTCAGGACACCATACAGAAGATAACAGAACCTCAAGATCAAGCCAGTTTTATTTTTCAACCTTCCTCCAGTTCACTTCATTATAAGTGAACTGGAGTTCTCAAATGCTTATGTGTATTTGTGTGTCCTTCTGATTGGTCAAATAAAGGGATCACACTATTACCAGTTTTGGAAATGTTCATTGCCTGTTGCACTAAAAACACAGGTATCCCAGTAGAAATTCTGCTTTTGATTTAGTGTCCTCCTCAGAATTCTGTAGATTTTTTTTCACCCAATTTTTCTGTATAATTTATGTATCCTGAATAATAGATTGGTCTGTTAATAAAAATGCAATGATTAAGCTTTCTGGATTATGCTTGTTTGCCATTGCTGTGTGCTTTCAAGTCGTTTCCAACTTATGGAGGACTTGAGGGAGATGTTGACAAGCTGGAATGTGTCCAGAGAAGGCGACTATAATGATCAATGGTCTAGAGAACAAGCCCTATGAGGAGAAACTTAAAGAGGTGGGCATGTTTAACCTGAAGAAGGGAAGGCTGAGAGGAGACATGATGGACGTGTATAAATATGTGAGGGGAAGTCATGGGGAGGAGGGAGCAAGCTTGTTTTCTGCTGCCCTGGAGACTAGGATGCAGAACAATGGCTTCAAGCTACAGGAAAGGAGATTCTACCTGAACATTAGGAAGAACTTCCTAACTGTGAGAGCTGTTCAACAGTGGAACTCTCTGCCCCCGAGTGTGATGGAGGCGCCTTCTTTGGAGGCTTTTAAACAGAAGCTGGATGGCCATCTATCAGAGGTGCTTTGAATGCAATTTTCCTACTTCTTGGCAGGGGGTTGGACTGGATGGCCCACGAGGTCTTTTACAACTCTATGTTTCTCTGAGGTAAATCTATCATGAGGTTTTCTTCATGAGATCTGTTCAGAGAGAGGGTTGTTTTTGCTTTCTTCTGAGACTGAGAGCATGTGATTTGCCCAAGGTCACCAAGAGCATTTCCATGGATGAACAGTGACTTTAATTCTGGCCTCCAAAGATCTAATCCAACACCGAGACCACTACACTACACTGGTGCTTAATATCCGTCAACATTTCACAAGGCCTATGTGGCAAGCAACATCAAATTGTGATAAAGGTGGCAACAATTATTCATGAGCTGAGAGAGGCTGCAAGAGTTTTGCTTTTCCCTGAAAATACTGGGAAGGACAAAAGTCCACCCACTCCTCTCCTCTTTCCTAAATCTGACAACTGAGTAAATGGAAATAGGTCCAGGACAAAGGGGGTAAGAGGGAATAGAAGAGAAAGGTCAGGCATTTGCAATTTCTCCATAAGTGGAAGAGAACGTCTTAGCTGTTGGTTTGTATCCTTATCTTTTGTTGAAAAAGAGGAGTTGTTTTTCTCTCTGTGTTCAGGGCTGAAAATTAAAGAAGTTGAAGGCAGATTCTAAAGGAATTGCACAACTGAATATTTTGCAGTTAATTTATTGATTGCCCACAGAAAGCCAGTGTGGTATAAAAGATGATTATATTATATTAGACTGGAAAATGAGACATCTAGTTCTATGCTTCATTTAATTATGAAATTGAGTGTGTGATCTTGAACCAATCATTTACTCTTGGCTGGACCTAACCGTCCACCAATAAAGTGTGGGGCAGGGAGCCATGAATAATTCCTTGAGCATGTTGGAAGAAAGCCAGTTTATAAATGTCGCTATAAACATCCCTCTCTTTTTCTTTCTGTTTGTTATTTCTTTGGCCGTAGGACCTTCCTACCAAACACAGCAATCTCCTCCTGATTTCCTGCATTTCTAGTAATACCCTGAATAAGTGGCACATATTTTATTTATTTTTATTAATTTTAATATTTACCTAGTCAGAACCTTAAAACAGTTTCATCATATCAGTATATTTAAGGAAAATCTGTGTTTAATTAATTTCCTATCTCTCCATTGTCATATCTCCTTGCTTTCATGACGGAATATAAGAGCCTCTTCAATCAGTGTGAAGTTTTGGCTCTGCCTTTTCCTCTCCTTTGCTTTAGCCCCCCCCCCCCCATTCATAGATTTTCTCAGTAGTGTGAATACCTTCCTTTGTATTAGTTTTTGGGTGGAGTTTAACACCCCCAGAGGCCAGCCTTAGTTGGTCTATTCCATTTCCCTGTATAGAGCTCTTTGCTGGACTCTTCCCTCTTTTCTACAGCAGAGCTACTGTGATTTAGGTTTGGGATTATCTGGTAATCCTAGTCCCAAGCAATTCAAACAGGCATCCTTAGCACCATAAGTCCAAAGGACAACAGAAGCTTATGACCAGCGTATGCTTCACATTAAGACAGTTTATAACCATCGCTTTGCACCAGAGGCAGGAAACTTTCAAAGTCTCCAGAAAGATTACTGCAACCATCAAAATATCCTTTTGTAATGTTTTGTTTTAAGTTATTTTATGATAGTCCCGGGTGGAGTTAACCCTGTATTCATCTTGTTTCAGTAAACTCATTTGGTTATCTTTTCACCTTGCCTCAAAGTGCCTCTGTCTGCTAAGGGTTTTAATCTTAACAGAAGATATGCAGATAGGCCCGAGTAAAGCCAGACTCTATAGTTTTCCCATAGGCTCGGCCGTGCCATCACAATCAGTGTAACCTTTCCACATCAGCCAGAGCAGTGAGAAAACAGAGTCCTGTCTCATGTGGAGAGCCTCCATGTCTTGAGGATTGCCTCCTATTCAGAAGCATCACTTTTCAAGCAACAATGGAAAGTTAGCAGCCTTCACTCCCCACATGTTGAATAAACAAGTTTAAGAATGCCTCGACAAGGCTAAGTATCAATGATCTATCTGATATGTTGTTGTTCATTCGTTCAGTCATTTTCAAATTGGAACTTGTACCACCAAGTGACATTAGAGTGTGATCAAGATGACAAAAGTTACTGAGAAGGAAGCAGGGGAGATTGCAGCAGCTTGGTTTTGCCAATTCCATGAGCAAGGTTCTTCCCTTTCCTCTCCAATGAGTTAATTCAATAAAAACTTTTTTTGCACTTTGAACTCCATTCACAACAACTGAAGTAAACTGGGGTGGGAGTATGTTACAATAGCTGGCATTGACTGTATGCCAACCAGGCCTCCATCAGAGGTGCCTGGAAGATTTGCGAGGAATGGAATGGGGGAATTTGCATAGAGAAAGCAGTGCCCTGCCTCATTTCCAGTACATACAAGTGACGCCTGGCCTGTCATATTGCTCATGAGAATGACCACATAAATGTGAGTCTTTGTATGGAGCAGTCGCTCCCATCATTACACCCATTCCTGGCCCCCTGTATCTCTTCTCTGTTCTTCCACTTACTTTAATTTTTGTAAAGATCCTCACCTGCCTTCTGCCTGGGACTTTTCGATCACACCCTTTGCTCTGATCCTCAGTCCACAAGGTTCGCTCTCTTCCAGACCTCTTTCCTTCACTTGTGGTTTTCGCCTCACACAACTCTCCCTGTGCAAGACGCATTATACTGTTTCCATGGCAGCTGCATTCAGGAGGAAAGGACTGGAGAGGGAAAAGACAGTGTTCTTGAAAGCAAACCTCATTTGCTTCCAAGAGATTTCTTGACACATTTCTTTGGTATTTACACAGAAAGGAAGGAAGGAAGCTGCAAAAATTCATCACATGGCTACTGTCAGAATATTTTATTCATATATTTATCATGAGGTTTAGGCCAGCATACACCTTTTTCTATCCTCAATTTTATGCTCACGTTCAAGGAAGACCCAGTCTTCCCCAAGGGTCATAAGACTCTGGTAAACTAGATTTCATCTTCAACATCCTAGTTTGCTGATCCTTCCCGTCTAACTCTGCTGATTCTCTTTTGTTTTGTTTTTTCTCGTAGCATGTCTGTGTCATAGCCAGCAGTGGTTAGGTAGTTTAGACTTTGGACTTACCATATATACTCAAGTATAAGTCAAGTTTTTCAGACCCTTTTTTAGGCTGAAAAAGCCCCCCTTGGCATATATTTGAGTCAAAGTTATTTATTATGTTAAAGGTAAAGGTACAGGTTGTCCCCTGACATTAAGTCCAGTCATGTCTGACTCTGGGGTGTGGTGCTCATCTCCATTTCTAAGCCAAAGAGCCAGCGTTGTCCATAGACATCTCCAAGGTCATGTGGCCAGCATGACCACATGGAGCGCCCTTACCTTCCCGCCGGAGTGGTACCTATTGATCTACTCACATTTGCATGTTTTCGAACTGCTAGGCTGGCAGAAGCTAGGGCTGACAGCGGAAACTCACGCCGCTCCCTGGAATCGAACCTGCGACCTTTTGGTCAACAAGCTCAGCAGCTCAGTGCTTTAACCCACTGCGCCACCGGGGGGGGGCCCTATTTATTATGTTACTTTATATTATTATTATTATTATTATTATTATTATTATTATTATTATTTGCATAGACAGAATTTTACTCTATTATTTTTATGTTTATTATTTACTCTATTATTGTGATTACATTTATTATTTTACTCTATTTATTATTATTGGAAGGATATGTAAGCACATATACATTGAAGAAGGTTGGAATAATGATTTAATCAGAGTTCGACAGTCTTATCTTAAATTATAGTTTTATGTAAATATTCAAAAACATGTAACCTATGGATGCCTCAATTGATGTAATTTTATTGGTAACAAATTTTATTTTTAAATTTACCAGTAGCTGCTGCATTTTCCACCCTTGGCTTATACTCAAGTCAATATGTTTTCCCAGTTTTTTGGGGGGTTTTAGTGGTAAAATTAGGTGTCACAGTTTATATTCGGGTTGTCTTAAATTTGAGTATATATGGTAATTACCTTTATAATTTTGCTGATTGCATTACTTTACTTACTTCAAACCCAGTTGCTTTTAGGGCCCCTTCTGCTGATTCTGGTTGGTGACACCTTGAGTATTTGACATGATGGAATGACCACTGACTGTACTTTAAGTTGCCTTGTACAAGCTCAGCTCTTGCCTTCAAGTGGTTTCTGACTTATGGCACCCCTAAAGTGATCCCATCACAGAGCTTTCTTGGCAAGTTTCATTCAGAAGATGTTTTCCATAACATCTGACATTTGCCTAAGGTTACTCATTGGTATCATGGCTGACAAGGAATTCAAACTCTGGTCTCCAGGAGTCATAGTCCAACACTCAAACCACTATGCCACATTGGCCCCTACCTTTTTATTAGTCCAGTTGCTTCCGACGCTTTGTGACCTCCTGGACCAGCCCACACCAGAGCTCCCTGTCGGCCATCACCACCCCCAGTTCCTTCAAAGTCAAGCCAGTCACTTCAAGGATACCATCCATCCATCTTGCCCTTGGTCACCCGCTCTTCCTTTTTCCTTCCATTTTCCCCAGCATCATTGTCTTCTCCAAGCTTTCCTATCTTCTCATGATGTAGCCAAAGTACTTCATCTTTGCCTCTAATATCCTTCCCTCCAGTGAGTAGTCAGGCTTTATTTACTGAAGTATGGACTGGTTTGATCTTCTCGCGGTCCAAGGCACTCTCAGAATTTTCCTCCAGCACCACAGTTCAAAAGCGTCTATCTTCCTTTGCTCAGCTTTCCTTATGGTCCAGCTCTCACATCCATAGGTTGTTAGAGGGAATACCATTGCTTTAACTTTGCAGATGTTTGTTGCCAGTGTGATGTCTCGATTCAGTGTGAGGCCACTACCTTAGTCACCCAATAATCCATCTCTTACCTCCACATCTTTGTGTATCAAATCATGTCTCCTACACTTTGTGACTATGATTTACAAACAATGTCACAATTATAAATGCCAGTCTCAATAATGTATGATTTTTTAAAAAAATCTTTGATTAAAGTTGCATTGTTTTACTCTGACTTGTTCAATATAAGAACGCATCAATCACTTAAGCAGTCTGGTGCCCACAAACCTGGCAAGACTTGACACCCCAAGGGATGTGGTCCAGTTCTGCCACAGAGAAGTCCAAATTAGGAAAAGATAATGGCGATTAATTTAAATCATTTTAAAAAGATGTATACCCTTGCTTTTCTTGCCCAGAGGAAGCCAATAGCTAGTTGACAGATTAGGGAAGCAAACTGCCGATGTGCATTGCCTCTCTCCAGCCAGTTTTCAAAACTGGCTATTTACATGACATTTTAAAACTTGCTAGAGAACACCCACATCTCACTTCAAATACATGAAGTGAATGTTAAGACATAATCGTATTTAGATTTCTCTAGGAGTACTGTACTTCAAATAGCATCAACCACTAGGTGGCAATAACATGCAATCTAAGAGATAAAACCTACTTAAAAAATTTCTCTGTATACCTTCAAGTTGCTTGTCAGCTCAATAAGTTTCATAGAGCTTTCTTATACAGGAAATATTCAAAGGTGGTTTTGTCAGTTCCTTCCTCTGAAATATAGTTTTCAGAATATGGAATAAACACTGGGAACTGCAAACCCGTGGGCCTCCAGCATCTTACTGGAGGTCAGCTGTTACCAGCAGTGCTGTGGATTTTGAAGCACAAATAGATGGTGAAAGGGAGAAACTTGCGAAGGCGTGTGAAGCAAACTCTTGTCGGGACCACCTTCCATCTGAAAATCTCTGTCCTCATTGCAAATGATCATGCGGATCCAGAACAGGTCTCTACAATCACTTACAGACCCGCTGCCAAGATGGCCCTTGGAAGACAACCATGCTCAGTCGTAAGTGATTGCCTATGACAGCAGGGTACTTAGTCTTGTTCATCCCTTGGGACCCTTTGCAAGTTAGGTGAGAAATCACCTACAGCAATTTACAGCAGGGGTGTCAAACCCATTTCCACAGAGGGTCACATCAGCCTTATGGTTGCCTACAAAGAGTCATTTGCAATTCTAAGGCTATATAAATGTAACTATATTTACCCAATATTGAAAGCCCCACGAGCCATATAAAATGATGTGGTAGCCAAATCCAGCCCGTGGGCCTTGCTTTTGACATATGTGATTTACAGCATCTGGTATTGGTTGGCGGTCTCTTATCAAAAACCCTGCTGAGTTTCCAAAATCAGACAGGATCAGTAGCCTTTAAAGTAAATAATCAGTAACATTGTAGTGTGTGTGTGCGTGTTTGGAGGGGGAAAGCTAACCAAACCACCTCTGAGTATCCCATGCCTAAGAAAACCCTATGAAATTCATGGGTCGAAAAGGGGGGGGGGGGGAGAGAGAGAAACAAGAGGAAAAGCTTTCAAGAGCCACATTTTTTAGCCATGCATGTAAACCCAGCAGACATGTAAAAGTGAAATCAACAAAGAAACCAAGGGAGGAAAATATCTAATCTGATGTATTTTCCATCCATTAGAGTCTTCTCTATTCAAGTCTGTGGCCACTAGCTACAGTTGTTCCTGGACTGGGATAATTTGATCTATGCTCTGATGTGTTTAGACCATCACAATGAAGCCTACACAGGAATTCCTCAAATGACAGTCCAGAAGCTTGAGGGTGATATAGACAAGGGCGGAAAAAGCTGAACATACTCCATGCAATCTGAACTGTAGTTTTACAAGGTCTTTAGCCTTCTCTGCCAAAGAGTACACAAAACTACAAATCCCAGAGACTGCACAGCACTTAACCATGGCAGTTAAAGCAGGGTCAAACTGCATTATTTTTAGCATAGATGCGCCCTAAGTACAGAATTACATTCCCATTGTGTGGAGAATATGGATGGCATGATTTTTATAAGTTCAACTGAGGTATATTCATACCTCTACCTTGGTTTTTTTCCCCCCACAGATGAAGAATCCCCAAATATTGCAAATATTGCTTCTGCAGGGAGAACAGCACATGACTGGAACTCTCCAGTGAAGTCAATCGTACCAATGGAGTATTAGTTATGATACAAGTCAATGTGAAAAAAAAAACCTATCAATTTAGAAGAATGCAAGGTCAATAATTCCAGGAACTCTTATAGGTTAAGGTTATGTGAAGGCTTTCTACTCCAGGTCTCTAGCAGTGAAAACATGATTCTTCTTGTAAGAAATGAAAGTGAATACATGTGGGGTGTCTCCCTGTAGAGCAGTGTTTCTCAACCTGGAGGTCGGGACCCCTGTGGGGGTCGCAAGGGGGTGTCAGAGGGGTCGCCAAAGACCATCAGAAAACAGTATTTTCTGTTGGTCGTGGGGTTTCTGTGTGGAAAGTTTGGTACAATTCTATCATTGGTGGGGTTCAGAATGCTATTTCATTGTGAGTGAACTATAAATCCCATCAACTACAACTCCCAAATGACAAGGTCTATTTTCTCCAAACTCTACCAGTGTTAACATTTGGGCACATTGACTATTTGTGCCAAGTTTGATCCAGATCCATCATTGCTTGAGTCCACAGTCTGGATATAGGTGAACTACAACTCCAAAAACTCAAGGTCAATGTCCACCAGACCTTCCCAATATTTTCTCTTGGTCATGGGAATTCTGTGTGCCATGTTTGATTCAATTCCATCATTGATGGAGTTCAGAAGGCTCTTTGATTTAAGCTGAACTATAAATCCCAGCAACTCCAGCATTACCAAATGACCAAATGACCCCAACCCCACCAGTATTCAAATTTTGGGCGTATCGGATATTTGTGCCAAATTTGGTCCAGTGACTGAAAATACATCCTGCATATCAGATATTTACATTACAATTCATAACAGTAGCAAGATTACAGTTATGAAGTAGCAATGAAAATAATGTTATGGTTGGGGGTCACCACAACATGAGGACCTGTACTAAGGGGTCACAGCATTAGGAAGGTTGAGAACCACTGCTGTAGAGAGTCTCCCCAGCACCCAACAGTCTATAGGCAATAAATGTGGCAAACAGCATCTCTAAATAAAATTTAAAGTGTTCAATGGAAGCAAAAGCCATATTAGGTGGGCGGAGGAATAAGTAGATAAGAATGTATGAAACCATGCAAACAAAAAAGTATAACAAAGCCCCAGAATATTTCAAAAAGTACACATACACACACGTGTATAAAAATAACTATAATTATGATTTGGTTTAGTACAACCAATTCTCTCTTATGAATAATTTGTTACTTGTTTTACTGTTTTTGTTTTTAAAAGAGTTGTTTGCTACATTGTGTCTTTTTGCTGGGCTTTCATTCCATCTGAATTCAGGAGGTTTGACAATCCTTCCCTCTGCCTCCCAGGATGAACATTTTCCATTCCTATCCTGATTCCAGCCAGCAATGGAGTTTTGCTTCTCTTGCCAAGTCCACTCTGGGCTGACACCATGGGGGGGGGGGGGGGGGGGGGGGGGGAGAGTGGGACACTCTCTAAATTAGAACACATGGGCACCAGACTCAGCCAGATCTCTCCATGTGCCATAACAGTGTGGTCAACACTTGAGAGGTTTCCACCCACCTTCCTTATCTCGCCTGCGATTTTCCCCATCATTCTTTCTCCATTTTCTCCCTAATTTCTAAAGGCAATGTCTCATAAAGGGTGTTCTCCACCACAAGGCCATTACGCTTGAGGGCTGTGCACTGGCCAATTTCCCGGGGCAGGATATCCAGGTTGTTTCCCTTCAGCTCCAGCCTGGAGAGCAAAGGCAGCCAGCTGATGCGGTCAGAGAGGTGCCGCAGTTTGTTGTGCCCAAGTTTGAGAACCTTGAGCCTTTTGCAGAAGAAGACTTCAGCAGGCAGCACCTCTAAAAAGTTGTGTGAAATGGAAAAATACTGGAGGCTTTGTAAAACTCCCATCCCAGGAGGAATGACCTGGATGTTATTGTGGGAGAGGTCCAAATAGTTCAGCTTGGTGCACAAGAACAGCTGAGCAGGGAGGGCCTCGATCCGGTTGTGGCTAAGGTCAAGCTGCTCTAAGGACTTCAGCTTGCGTATATGGTCAGGGATGCTGGCAATGTGGTTGTGCCAAAGTCTGAGGCATGTCAACTTGCGGCAATGCTGGAAGCTCAGGACCTCTTCAATAGTATACAGTTGGTTGTCCCTCAGGTCTAACTCTTGCAGGTTGACCAGACTGAAGACAGCATGGGGGATGCGGTCCAAGCTACAGTTTATCAGCTTCAATTCCTGTACATTGAAGAGTTTCTTGAGGGTGTTCAGGGTCACCAGCTTAGTCCCATCATTGTGGATCCTGAGCTTTTGCAAATGAGTAGCCAGATCAGCCACACTGGGTGGCAATTTGGACATGTTGCTATGCAGTGTCAGGACCTTCAGGCTCCTTAGTTCACGCATGCATTCTAGATTCCCCGCCCGGTTCATCTCTGGGTTAAAGTGTCCCATAATGTGCAACTCTTCCAATCCCCTCAGGTTGTAAGTCCATACTGGTATATCTTTTATATCATCAAACTTGACAAGCATCACTTTCAGGTGTTCACGGAAAAACATCAAAGATGTGAAATTCAGCTTAACGGGACTGTTAATCAACGCAAGCTCCTGAAGGTTGACCAACTGAGTCACAGAGTTTGGGAAAGTAAAATCTTTGAGGAGCTCGAGCTTCAGGGCCTGCACCTCAGTCAGCTCAAAAGTAGTATCAGGCAATCCAGGCAACATGAAGAGATGGAGCTCCAGCCGGTCATGCACATTCTTCTGTAGCTTCTGTCGCAGCTTCTCTATCGTCCACTCATGGCTGAGGTTGAGTTGTTTCAGCTTGAACTCACTGGCCTCAGAGAGGAATACAGCAAAGCGCTTGGAATACAGGGAATCGTACTGGTCGATGAGGTGGAGCATGAAGGCAAAGTCATTCTTGACATCAGGGATGTCCCAGATGCCTGTCTCCTCACGTACAAAGTCAAAAGAGTACTCTTTGAGTGGTCGGTGAAAGAGCCAGTAGAGTGTGTAGAGACAAGTCATGCCATAGATACCAAGGAAGCAGATGTAGCAGATTGCCAGCTTAGAGAACAGATGGGCTTTGGTGTGATTGCAACAGAAATGCTCATAGCCTGTCATATCCTCCATCTTGATACTGCATGGCACAATGAAGCTAATGTTGGGAACCAGGATTGCATTGTAGACAGTGATGACTAAAAACTTGCAGACTTTGAGAATAGTTTGGCGGATGTACATGGTGTAAAGGATGTCTCCTTGTTCGACGTGGAGTCGGAACTTCTTCACCTTTTCAAAGAGAGCCTTGGCCTGCTCACCTTCCTTTTTGTCCAACAAGCTTATTGAGGAGGGGGACTCGGTAACCTTCTTCTCTGAAATAGAGCCCTTCAAGGGGGAAAGCTCTGTTGCCTCACTGGAAACACTAATTTTCTTTCTCCGACCCATTTGCTCTGAAGTTCCATTCTCCTCCTCAGAGACTTCTGAGATGGCTCGAGTAGTCCAGGGTGAGTCAAAGCACTTGCTCAGAATGGAGATAAAATGTTCAATCTTTGAACTGGTCCCAGGAAATTTGAACCAAAATGAGGCACACACCATGAAGATAAGGGTGTGGATGACGACAAGGTAAGGGAAGTACTTGGCATACCAATGAAGGGCTGACTCATAGCACATCTGGTTGATATAGCTGTACTGTTGCAGATCCAGGTTGTTTCGTCGTCCACTCATTACCTGGTAGGCAGGGCTTTCCATTGGTTGAGAGGCGTTGATTCTCCTCTTGGTGAAATCTTCACAGGTTACATCAGTGGAGGCTGTGCCATTGGGAACATGGTTGGGAAGGCAGATAATCTTATCATGTATCACCTATCATGCCATGATAGCAAAGAAGAGAAAAGAATGTGAGACAGCAAAACCCAGTGGAAGAGAATGATATATAAAACTTGGAAAATATTTGGCTGCACACCCCCCCCCCCCCCAACACACACACACAAAAACTACTTCAGGTTGCATATGGAAGATTATATTTTGGAAAGGTTATAAAAATCCTATGCACAGGTCAAAAAATAGAATAGCAGGAAGTGATGCTGGCTAGAATAGCTGTCCCTGACAGACTAGGTAATCATTGCTTTTTATTTCTAAGGATGTGTATTTTAGTTTAAAAGCATGGGGAGCACTAAAAGTTTGCAACCTCCTCAGTGACCTGGTAGTTCACTGCTATCGTTTCAACTCTACTGCATGTGTAGTCAAACAAGACTAATTCTAGTATTTGTATAGCTATGGGAGAGGGTGAGAGTACAATAGTTTAATATTTGCCTCTTCATTACACACCAAAAGTAATACTTTTAACTCTTATTTTTGCACTTTCTTGGCTAACTCTGTCTAAGTTACTGAGCCTGTACAATATCATTTCGAAAGGGCCTCTTACCCACAAGCAATTGGCTGTAGGAAACCTAGTCGTCTCTGCAGTGCTACTGCTACACTTGGGCTGAAAATGTTGACCATTTCTGCACTAGACCATTCACTTGTTCTTTTCCAAACCTGCCCAAAGTGTCCCCCAAATTCTAGGCTCTTCCCTGCCACAACCAATGTAATATTTCCCAGTGACACTGTGCAAAGTCCCACTAGACTACCAGGTAGGATTCTCCTACACATACTTACTTGCAGAGTGCAACCAAAAACGCCTATCATCAGCATGGCAATGGTGATGTACTCAGCCAATACATCCCACCATGGCTTAAGAACCTTGAAAGCAGGCTGCTGGTCTGTGAAGTGCTTGAATTCGGCCACCGGGATCATACTGTCTACCAAAATATAAACAAACAAAAAAAAGGGAGGAAGGGGTTAGAATATCTGATGTCTGAAGTGTCTCCCTCTTTCATAAATGCCACGTTTAATATGAGGTAGCTGAGTAATACACATGGGAAAGGGTAGACCCTTCAGTGTCCTCCAAATCTTCTTAGTGTGCTGGGATGCAGTTCTCCTCATCATGTCAGGACGACCAATGGCTATGCTGCCTGAAGGCAATAGGAGTTGGACTCCAACAGAGCTGGAGATGTCAACATTGGAGTAACTGTTCTAGGGAATTAAAGCTTCCCAATTCTTTTCTATCTTAGATCACTTTACACTTGATGGAAAAAGAAAGCAAAATTAGGCAAATTTTCCCCGGCCATTGGATGCAGCAGGATCTTACCCTTAGCAGTTACGGTAGTCATATAAGCAGAGGTGCTAAAGTTATTTGATTTCATGTTCCATCACATCTCTCTCTCTCTCTCTCTCTATCTATGTATCTATCTATCTCTCTATCTATTGTCCTGCCTTTCTCCAATCAAGAGAAGCAACAGTATAACTGACAAAGCATGGAGTTACTACAGCTTATTTGGTCATACAGGCTACCCATTCCTGCCATAAAGATTCCCTGTACACATTTCGTGTTCACTACTGGCTTTCTGATGCATCTACCAACAAGGGTGCTTGTCTTAGAATCAGGAAAACACATGTTCCTTTAAGATTGCTGGAAGGCAATAAAGCATGGCTTTTATTTATCCAAAAACATTTAGAATACCCAATAAAGGCCAGCAACAAAGTTACATAAGAAACTCTGAGATTACCACTCAAACACAGATGAAATAGCCACGCCTCAACTTCACATTTGGTAATACAAAACCATATCCACAGATTCAGCATCTATGGATTCAACCAAACACAGCTCAAAAATGAGCCAAGGGAAGACTCCTACAACATCTGGAAAGCCCAATCCCACATTTCAGAAATACAGAAAAAAATGTTCCTGCTTTCTAACATGGGAGGAATTGTTCTTAAAACTAAATGAAAAAAGATGAAGATAACTTGGATAGATGCTCTTTGGGGTTTTTTAATGAACCTCTATTTAATGAATTAATTAGATCACAAAGAGATCAATCCTAGATAATATCAACATTTTGCAATGAATGTCAAAATAACATGAACAAAATAGCAAGAATGCGACAGTTCAAGCCTTTGGAAATACAAGCAATTTGTTTTGCAATCAACTTGGAAGATTATACATTATAATGCCTGACAGTATTACACAGCAACAGTCACAGGGAAGAGAAAATTTGGCCCTGCTGACACTTTGGCCTTTCACTCACACTAGCCCCAGCCACCATGGCCAATGGTAAGGAATTGTGGGAGCTATATTGTGGGCCAAATTTCCCCTAAATCAGAAGTAGTTTATTTATCGATTATATTTATTTATACCCCATTTTATCTCCCCAGAAGGGAACTCAAAGCATCTAGCTGGCCACAGTAGTTGGTGGCTTCCAGGTCAGTAAGGTATTAAATTCTCCACCCAGGTTTTACTTTGAATTTTGATGGATCTGTTCAAGATGCTGAACCCAATCCTGGAATGGGTTCAGATCTTTAGATGCCTCCTTTAAAGACTAAGGTTCAAAACAGATTCACAATCACAGTGATAAAAGAGCTACAATTCACTACCAGTGATGAAATCTGTCTGTGAAGATGATACCATAATTATTACCTACAAAAAAGCCTCAGAGACTGCCATTCTCAGATCTTCCTCATCTAGTATAACATGTACTGCTCACTCACCCAACTACATCCATGATGACAGTTGATCTCTCTTTCAGCACTACCAGTAGAAAGATCTAATCTTTGGTTGAAACAGAAGAGTGATCTTGTTTCTGATAGCTTGTGCTAAGATCCTTTATTTTGGCATAGGGCTGGATAGCAGAGGGCCTAACAGAGGCATCATCCATATATCTGGACTATGGTTGAAGCCTATTAAAAGGGAATCCCACAACAGATAAAGCCATAACTTCATAGTTAGTTTCTTCCCATGGAATAGAGTAGCCCATGGAACATAATGGTCTCTGATATTCTGGTTGCTATAGTAGCTGTTTTGTCAATACATCAACACATAGAATCTTAGAATCATAGAGTTGTAAGAGACCTCATGGGTTACCCAGTCCAAATCCCTGCCAAGAACCAGGAAAATTGCATCCAAAGCACCCCCAGCAAATGGCCACCCAGGCTCTGTTTAAAAGCCTCCAGAGAAGGAGCTTCCACCACAGTCCAGGGCAGAGAGTTCCACTACTGAACAACTCTCACAGTCTCCTAATGTTCAGGTGGAATCACCTTTCCTGTAGTTTGAAGCCATTGTTCTACATCCTAGTCTCTGGAGCAGCAGAAAACAAGCCTGCTCCCTCCTCTCCATGACTACCCCTCACATATTTGTACATGGTCCTCGTCATGTCTCCTCCCAACCTTCTCTTCTTCAGGTTAAACTTGCCCAGCTCTTTAAGTTGCTCCTCAAAGGGCTTGTTCTCCAGACACTTGATCATTGTAGTCTCCCTACTCTGGACACATTCCAGCTTGTCAACATTTCCCTTCAATTGCAGTGCCCAGAATTGGACACAGTGTGATTCCAGGTGTGGTCTGACCAAGGCAGAATAGAGGGGTAGCATGACTTTCCTGGATCTAGACACTACACTCCTTGGCCAAAATCCCATTGGCTTTACATACATTACAGCAATCAGGAGAAGGACACAAATGTACCAAAGTTAAACAAGGAAGTGAGACTATGAAGTTTGCCTCCCAGGCCATCATTCGTGTCACAATCTAAGAACAAGATCTGGTTTTGGACCGCATTAGCACACAATACTGCCTGTTTCATTTCCCTTTCTGCTAATCTAATTTCCGTCAACACTGGCTTCTCTTGAAATGCATGGGGCCCCTGCCTATGGTGATCTTGACCATAATTTCATCTTGTCCTTCTATCCAATCCTGAAAACTGCACTGCTCAGCTTTTGGCCAGGAGAGAACAGCATGGCAGAAAACTGAATGCCCAAGAAAACTGGCTCCTAAGGCTTTAGGATCACAACATCAGTTTCACTATTAATATACTACATGTAGATGTCTGTAGCAGGAATTCTTGATGGACTGGGCCTATACCAATGTTTTCTTATTGTACACCAGACCCTCAACGGTATGTGATTTCAAGGGTGTTTAACCACATAGTACTACCTTGACTCTACCAAAGCAACAAATCCAAAAATAATTTGGTGTAGATTCATAATACACTGTATTGGTCAGGTCTGTTGACAAGCATGAGAAGTCTGCTATCTGTGGAAGGATGCTAAAATCTAGACCAAACTAGTGCTAGGGCACTTCCAAGCAAAGGTTATTGCAGAAAAGGGAAACATGTGGTCTCTCATGAATTATTTGACCGACGTTAATAATGAGGGATGCTAGGGTCTGGAGCTCAACATCTGGAAAGCCATATAGTCCACCTTCCTAGGCTATTAGAAGTGGCAGGGAAGCTGGCATCCATAATATATGGAGCTATGGAATCAACCCTTTTCCTGAGTATTGCTAATCTAAATGGATGATTAAGGCCAGAATCAAGAAAAGGTACAAAATCAGCCACAATAGCAACAAAACTTAGATTGTTACTTTTTCCACAGCAACCAGAGTTGTCCATTTGTGGTCATGGATGATGGAGAGAACATCAAATAATAAACTATTATTATGATGTGGGCCCTGCAGTTTATTGCCAGTAATCATTCTGCATTTTTCTCCTTTGTTGCCAATTTTCTCTCACCCACCCAGGAAAGCTTCATTGCCTTTCAGAAATGACAAAATGCAGCTCACATACTAGGAAGAAAATCTTGGCTACTAGTTTGGAGGGAGAGAAGAAAAGGCAGCATCCATTGAACTTAATTCCTTAACAGAGTGCCATCTTTTTTCCTTTTGTGTTGAGTCTTAATTATATTGCAAGCCTGGGGGCAGGAAACTGTGTTGCTGTTGCTTTACTTATAAAGCACCATGTATAGTGATGGTGCTATATAAATAAATGATGATAACAAACAAAAATATTATTTTTACATATTGCCTAAGGGACAGAGCTATTAGATTTCTAGTCTCGTTCCCCAGTAGAAATATCTTTGCTTACAGCCCTGCATATGCTCTTCCTCGGGGATGCCCTGAGGCGTTTTGTTGCCTGAGCCAGAACTTTCAAAATAACATCCTTCCCAAGGTGACTGGACCTCATCAGATCTGTTGAAGCATGCAAGGAATCAATAAGTATGTGTGTGTCAACTGTAAAATAAGATGCATGAAGCTGATTGGTCGGGCAATGACCGGGGAGATGACTGAACCTGGGACTTTTGGATACTGTTACATTTTTGTTCAGGCTTGAGCTATGCAGGTGCTAGCAGGAGCAGGGAGAGAAGCAGAGAGACAGAGTTTGGCATGTGCCCTTGCTTAATGAGCTGCTGAAGGAGTATCTCCATATGGACAAAGAAAAAAACATTTCAAATCTCTCATAAAAGGACATTATATGAGTTGATGCAGCTGATCACATTGTACATATGCTGTTCTGAATGATGAAGACTAAACTATTTGTTCTTCACTGTTCACCTGTGTGGCATATTTTCTTTCTCTGGCAAAGCAATGTGTGGGCTGATCAAATGTGAATTACACATTATTTTACATTGTGCCACAAGATCCATTGGACTTCTGGCTTTGTTTTGATGCACTTAGGAAAAGAAATTGACCCTTTCCACCTCCCGGGTCCCATTGAGACCACCACATGATTTAAAGGCACTTCCAGTAGGGATCCGTTTCCGAGTCCAAATGACTTAAAATGGGGAAAGACGGGCAAAAGACAGGGAATGGGATGGCTGGCCATCCCAGAAGACAAGGGAAGATGGTTACCTTTGCTTTCTCCTGCTTTCCTCTGCTTTCCCCTTGCTCCAAAGCCAGCCAACATATTTTGGCTTATGATGCAGAGAATCTCATTATTTATTTCATACCTTCTTGCCATTAATATGCAGTAATGACAAAGCGAAGAACAATGTGCTCCCATTTTATGCCAACCCATTCCTACAGCCTGAGGCGACTGCCTGATTCTGAATAATGGTAGGCCTAGCCCTACCCGAAATTCCTGCTTAAGAACATGTCTGGTCAGCTGAAATTGCCAATGTCTCCATAAAGCTGTGTCCTGTGTGGGAACCAATGCAGCCATGCAAACGCTTCTGTAGATTGCAATTAAGAGGGAGCTGGCAGGCAGGCAAAGGAGGGAGAAGTCCAGATTCAACCATTAGGATAATCTTGTGTTTGAGAGACGTTGGGCATTTATACAGTTGGTCTTGTAATTTTCAGTGGGAAGATCTCTCAGAATAGAGATAATTCCCAAAGTGCTCCGGTTATCATCTCTTCTCCTGTCAGTTTCTTCCTACAGAGCATTTTATAATTAGACATTTTTTGTTTTGGAGCGGCTTTTAAGTTTAGCTCAAAATTATATCCAGAGAAGTAGAAGCACAATGCTATGTTAACAGGGAATCCTGTCTTCTACTTCTTTCCATTTCCCGTCAATCTCCCTAAAACTGTGGACAAGATCCAGAGGTTCTGATTCCATTACATGCTACCCCTAACTCCTGCCCACTCAGCTCCCAAATGCCCCTTTCATCATTCTCATGTATCCCCCCTCTCAAATATACCATATTTGACCACATCATGGTCACACTATTATATGGTGGCAACTATTATATGGTGAAAAAAGACTCCCTTTGAGGGGGACTTTTTTGCTACATAATAGTTCCTATGAGGGTGCAGCTGCACGGTAAGCAAACAGTATTTTGGCGCCCCCCCCCCCCCAACCAATCTCTGATACATATTTTCTGTTCGTCGCGGGAGTTCTGTGTGCCATATTTGGTTCAATTCCATCATTGGTGGAGTTCAGAATGCTCTTTGATTGTAGGTGAACTAAACATCCCAGTAACTCCAACTCTCATATGTCAAGGTCTATTTTCCCCCAAGAGCACCTCAAGAGCGCCCCTGGGCAAAATCAACTATACTGCAAATGCTTACTTTGCGTAATGAGTTGAGCTGCCCCTGGTTGTGCATTTAGAAACAGGAGTTTAGGCTCCCAAAGACACAAAAGAGGCAAACTGACCAAGGGACTGACTAGCTTAAGGTGTAACACACCCTCTGCAATGCTTAAAAAAGGAGATTGAAAGAAAAATTCTTTTTTGGGAAGATAGGACTCTTCTTTGCTGCAAGAAATGTTCTCATTTTGCCCTCCTCTGAGTAGGTACACCCTTGAGAGACTCATGCTACAGCCACCACAAACTAATCAAAATCTTTTTCATGCAAAGCAAAGAGCAAAGCATCTGATACAGTCAGATCCTGGAAACACAAATATGACTCCCTGTGACTTTTAAATATACAGGTGGTGAATTCATATTTGCTTCCCCTGAGGAGAGACCCAAATGGGTTTAACTTCCTCCTCTTGAGAGCAAACAAAGCCAAGGCCTCCTCTTAGCAATCTCTTTCTTTCTGCAGGTAGGGCTTCTGACTAGCAAACTTCCAAGCACAGTTCAACTGCAGCCTCTCTGCTAGGTGTTTGCATGGTATGAGTGCAAGTGTGTGGAAGATTGTGTGTGCCTTCATGTTGCCTGTGGAGTTTGACAATCCCAAGAGTATCAGAGAATTTTCTTAGGCAAGAGATGGTTTTCCAGGTTCATTCCTCTGAAATATAGGCTACAGAAGTGGTTCCCAACCTGTGGTCCATGGACCACCAGTGGTCTGCAAGAACTAAAATATAGTCCACAGCCTCACCATTACTACACCATTGCAACGAGAGCAACTGATCTTGTGAAACCCTCTTATAGCGCCGAGGCTTATTAAATGTGATTTTCTGTGGGTGAGCAGATGGTGACTACTGGATGGCACATGTTCTGTATCAGAAACTAGAGCTGATGTGATCTATCTAATGCAATTTTTAATTCAGTACCCCAAATAACCAAACTGAATCTAAAGATGACCAAAAACTGATTCGTAACCTTTTTGGTACTACTGTTGGAGAATGGTCCCTGGTCAAAGTGGTCCCTGGTTTTAAAAAAAGGTTGGAAATCACTGGGCTACAGTGTCTGCTGATATGCATTTGTGATTTCCCATCTAAACACTAACCAGGACTGATCCTGCTTAACTTTCAATATCAAGCAGGATCCTAATGCACAAAGATGGGTTTAAAGCACCACAGACACACATTACAAATGACTGCCAAGGAAAGAGCAAAATCCCCTCCTGCTGAGTTTAGTTCCTGACCGTTTTGTGTGGAAGTGGGGTCCCTGGAGCAGTGTCAACATCCAATGCACCCTTTCCAAGGGGGAGAAGCAATGCAAAGTGGGGGGGGGGGCACCAAAACCATCTTAGTTCAGGTACTCCTGACCAAATCCTCTAGGGGGCAGCAATATGCTTAAAGCCCTGAAGTTAAACTGTATGGTCCTTCAGCCTTGAACAGTCCCAGGGACAGATGCTAGAACTTTAGCAAATGTATTCCACAATTGGTTAGGGTAAATTAAGATATATTATGAACAAGAGGGGTAGTATGGATAAAACATACTGTACATGCCCTTAGCTCCCCGCTTCCTCATCTTTGTCCAATCTAGAATAAATTACATTCTACTTTACTCTCTCCAAACCCCTGTAAGTAGGGCATGAGATCTGAAGGTCCACCTAAGGTGCTGGATTACAACTCCCAGCATCCATATCATAGCTAAAGTTGATGGGAGTTGTGGCTCAACAACATCTGGAAGGCTCCATGATTCCCACTCCTGGAGCAAGCCAAGTTGTGGGGTGAAGGAGCCCACTAAACACATGAAAGTTACCCACATAGCCCCCAATCAGTTACCCACACTGATTTCCTCCAAAAACAGGCAAAGAGTAAAGCATTAAAGGGATTGTCAGCAACAGCACAAAGAAAAAGGAGGTGTTTGTCCCTTTCCACCTCAGTTACATTCTTTTACTTATCTACTAATTTCCCTTTTTATCTCTCCTGCCTTGGCCAGTGAGGAAAATGACTTCCCAATCAGAAAGAAAACTGAGGAAAGCAATGGTTAATGGCCTGTAAAAAGCAAACAGCATGTTCACTATATAATGGGTGCATATTCATTGTAGAGTTCATACAATCTGACATCACTTTTTCTGCCATGGCTCAGTGCTATGGAATCATAGGAGTTGTAGTTTTACAAGTTCTTCTCTGTCAAAGAGTGCTGGTGCCTCACCAAACTACAACTCCCAGTTTTCCATAGCACTAAGCCATGGCCATTAAAGTGACGTAAAGTGACGTGCATTCATTTAACAGTCTAGAGGTGCACCTTCCCTTCCCCACCTAATTTTGAAGAGTTCTGAATAGCGCGGAAATCTTACACACAATTTTGTGCTTTTTTGGTCATTTACAGGCAGTCCCCGAGGGTGTGTGTCAGGAGCAACTTGAGAAACCGCAAGTCACTTCTAGTATGAAATAATTGGCCATCTACTACGTTGCCCAAGGGACACCTGGATGTTTTGATGTTTTACCATCCTTGTGGGAGGCTTCTCTCATGTCCCCACATGGGGAGCTGGAGCTGACAGAGGGAGCTCATCCATGCTCTCCCCAGATTCGAACCTCCGACCTGTTGGTATTCAGTCCTACCGGCAAAGGTTTAACCCATTGTGCCACGGGGGCTCCTAGTCCCTGAGTTACAAACATCCGACTTAGACTCTTAGTATGGGGAAAAGGTGTCTCCACTGAACCTTTCTCTCCAATCTGTTTCCACCACAAGCCAAATTTTTCAAAATCCAATTATTACAGGGACAGAAAGTGAGGCAAAGTTTTCTGAGCATAAGAAACACCACAAATATGTTAACCCTTCCCTATGCTATCAAACATGCTTATTGGCTGGAGTTACACTTCAAAAATGTGCCTGTTCTGACTTACATACAAATGCAACTGAAGAACAAACCTACAGAACCTGCCTTGCCTGCAACTTGGGGACAGCCTGTACTACCAACAATAAGGACTTTGGAATCTCTCTGTTCTTATATTTTCATACCTATCTGATAGTAGCTACTTTTCACCCAGTGCAACAGTGGAGTTGAGCTGGGCTAAATATCCCTTGTGGTATTAAGTTACCCATTTTCTTTCCCCTCCCCACTCCAATCCCTGCTTTTTTATAGATGACAGATAACACGTGACAATGTGTTGAATGTACCTTTTTAAATTGCGACAGTCCTAAGTCTTCCTCCTCAGGAGAGATCTCCAGTCACTCTGGGTCAAATCTTCACATGAACGTTTGGCTGTGTGGTCCTAGGAGAAACCCAAGAGAGCTTGTCATGGGCTGAAATCAACACATCCAAGCTGCTTTCAATTGGTCTCCGTTCTCAGCTCCCACCAAATGAAAACTGCCTGCAGACACACACACAAATACACAATGCTCATCAACACATCTTCCCAACTTTCCAAAGTCCTTCCTTTTCAAAAGTCACCGGGTTGAATCCAGCTGGCACAGCGTCATTTATTCCCGGCTCTCCCTCTCACCAAACCTGTTTCTCCACACCTCAGAGCATAGGAAGCAACAATTCAGAAGCAGCTCCTCTGAGCATGTGCGGGCGCCTGGCTTTCGCAGAAGGCCAGCCCAAGAGAAAGGACTTCTTTGAGAGTTGGACACTCCCCAAAGCCCAACAGATGCTGCAGCTCACAGCATTCGCAACATTCCTCACTCTGGGTGCATCTATACACAGTAGAATGAATGCAGCTTCACACCTCTTCTTGCACTGCCCAATGCTACAGAATCCTGGGAATTGTAGTTTTATAAAGCACCAGTACTCTTTGGCAGAGAAGACTAAAGACCTTGTAAAACCACAACTTCCACGATATCCTAGCATTGAGCCATGGCAGTTCCAGTGGTGTGAAACTACATTCAGTCCTAGCCAACATAGTATAGACCAGGCATGGGCAAACTTCAGCCCTCCAGGTATTTTGGACTCCAACTCCCACAATTCCTAACAGCCACAGGCCCCTCCCTTTCCCCCCTAAGTCGCTTAAGTGGAAAAGGATAGGAAAGAAAGGAAAGGGCCTGAGGCTGTTAGGAATTGTGGGAGTTGGAGTCCAAAATACCTGGAGGGCCGAAGTTTGTCCATAGTGTGTGTAGACACACACTATGTTGGCTAGGTCTGTTGAGAACTGCAGTTCAGCAACATCTGGCCACGGATTTCCCCATTCTTCTTCTAGTCCCTTGCGCCTTTACATCCATCTGCATCATTTGAGAAACTTGTTTTGGACTGCAGGCTCCAGAATCCCCAACCAGCACTAACTTCTAAACCCGCACTGCAATTTTTCCAATTTGATGTTTTACGTGACTATATTCAATAGCAACAGTCTTCATAGAAGGAGAAGAGGGTGGGCACGTTGAGACAGGGGCCCTGCTAGTTAAAGGATTGGGATAACTGCAGTTCTAAATGCTAACTTTCCTCCAAATTCTGCCTTGATGGGGAGCAAGGCCCATTGAATCTGGTGGGATTTAATGCTGACTAGACCTGCATAGGCTGGCACTACTATTATGGAGAAATCCATACTGAAGTCAAGTGGAAAGAATTTCTCTTTTTCCCTTCAGGAGCAAAAACTGATGTCTCCCAGGGCACCTGATGAACCAACCTGGACACGGCATATTATTGGAGAAGACAGAAATACTGGACCACTCTGACAACTACCATGTCAGTCTACACAGAGAAGCCACTGAAATTCACAAGCAGGTGGACAATTTCAACAGAAAGGAAGAAACCAAGAAAATGAACAAAATCTGGCTACCAGTATTTAAAAAAAAACTCTAAAATTAGAACAGTAAATAAGGAGCAATGCTCAAAAAGCAAGGGAATTGAGACAAGAGTAAATCAGGGCCAGCTAACACCTCCCAACAAAGGATTCCCCCAGGCAGTAACCAGACAGGCATTGAAGCTGCAAGGCTACAATGCTAATCAAGCTGGTCAATTGTAGCATTCACACCTGACTCAAGCAGACAAGAGTTCTTTCTCCCACCCTGGACATTGTTCCACAGATATAGAAACCCCACTTGCCTAGTTTCCAACAGACCTCTCAACCTCTGAGGAGGGTTGTAGGCGAAATGTCAGGAGAGAATGCTTCTGGAACATGGCCACACAGCCCGGAAAACTCACAGCAACCTAGTGATTCTGGCCATGAAAGCCTTCAACAACGCATTCCCCTAGGGGAGATAGGGCACCCTATAAATAAAGTATTATTATTTGAAACATAACAAGATTAAAACACAGCAAACAAGGTCACTATGCTGATTATTGTATTGGATCACACGTCGGACCCTTCCCAAGTCTCCCGGACTGTGTGATGTATTGGCGAATAATGCGTGCAGATCCCAGTAGGGTGGCCTTTTGCAGCTGACAGATGGCAATTTTGTCAGTACCGATTGTGTTTAAGTGCAGGCCAAGGTCTTTAGGCACTGCACCCAGTGTGCCGATCACCACTGGGACCACCTTTGATTCGCTGGACACAACTCCCTCTCCTGCTTCTCTGGTTCAAGCCCAAAAAACTGTGGGATGTTCCACGTTGTCCTGGTGCCCGTTTTCGAGACAGTAAAACAAACCCGACAAATCATGTTTTTCCCTCTCTATGTCCCTCCCTCTCGCTCGCTCTCTCGCTCTGGATTCGGGGGAGCTGTAGTTTTCCAAGGTCTTTCTGCTTCTCTGCCGAAGAGTGTCTCACTAAAGGACAACTCCCACGATCTCACAGAACTGAGCCAGGGCAGTCAAAGTGGCGTCGAAACTGGGCTCATTCTATAGTCACGCCGCGACTTCCCCGTGGGGCCCTTACCTGGAGTTGCCGGCAGCACCTGACTCGGTCCCCTCTCACCGGGATTGCCCCCCCCCCCGTCCTCTCTTTCCCCGCCTTCCCCAGCGAGGCCTCTCCCCTCCCTCCTTCCCTGCCCCCCCCCCGGCTCGGCGGCGCGGGGAGGGCGGGGCCCCCGGGAGGAGGCGCAGTAGCCCCGCCCAGAGCAGCCCCAGGCGGCAGGCACCGGGGGGTCCCTGGCCCAAGTCATTTCTCTGCCTGAGGCGGAGCTTTCAAGGGCCCGCGTCCGGCCACAGTCCCCAGTCAGGGCCAGGCTCATCCTCATGCTCTGGGGATGTATGAAGGTTGCATGCAGCCTGACCCCACTTGAACTGCCCGCTCTCAAGACCCCGGGATTTGGAGTTTTACAAGGCGTATCCTTCCCAACCGTGCCTTGCAAGTGCATTCATTCTACAGTGTAGAACAGGCATGGGCGTTTTGGACTCCAACTCCCACCATTCCTAACAGCCTCAGGAGGGCCCAAGTAGGTCCATGCCTGGTGTAGAATTCCTTTCAGTGTCACCGTGGAGGGGATTGACTCACGCAGAAGGAAGGGTGGTGTCGACTTCTCAATTGTGGATGACTAACTCCTACTTCGAAAGTTGAGCAAGTAAAGTTTCCATTTGGAGGTGGGGTTTTTTCCCCATGTCAGGAGTGACTTGAGAAACTGCACATCGCTTCTGGTGTGAGAGAATTGGCCGTCTTCAAGGACGTTGCCCAGGGAATGCCCCAGTGTTTGGATGTTTGACCATCTCTCATGCCCCCGCATGTGGAGCTGGAGCTGACAGCGGGAGCTTGTCAGATTCAAACCTCTGACCTATTGCCACCAGGTGTGGGGTGAGGGGAGCATCTGTTATGATTTCAGTGGCAGTTCTCTGTCATTTTCGGATTCAAAGGGCTGATTCCCAGGCAGAAGGACACGCCTGGTGTGGGAGGGTTGGAGTTTGGCCCCAGTCCATTGCCACTGGGTTGAGTTTTTCAGCCGCCTTGCACTGTGTGGCTCTGAGAATGAATGCTATGGAAGGTGACATTGATCCCTCTTCCAGATCACAGGGGAAGAAGAAATGCCAGCCTGCCAGGAGTTTTGCTCATCCACTTTGGTCAGGTTTACCCAGCAAGGTCTTTGGAAAAGGATGATGGAAGCTGAAGTCCACAACTGAATTGAGGGCCAAATACCATCTAGTAGGTAAAGGGTTTTCCCCTGACATTAAGTCCAGTCATGTCTGACTCTGGGGGTTGGTACTCATCTCCAATTCTAAGCCGAAGAGCTGGCATTGTCCATAGATGTCTCCAAAGTAATGTGGCCAGCATAACTGCATGAAGCACTGTTACCTTCCCACCAAAGCAGTACCTATTGATCTACACACATTTGCATGTGTTTCGAACTGCTAGGTTGGCAGAAGCTGGGGCTAACAACGGGAGCTCATGCCACTCCCCAAATTTGAACCTGTGACCTTTCAATCAGAAGTTCAGTATCTCAGTGCTTTAACCCACTGTGCCACCAGGGGCTCCTATCTTAGCCATGCCTTAAACTTGGCATGGGCAAACTTCGGCCCTCCTACAGCTGTTAGGAATTGTGGAAGTTGAAGTCCAAAATACCTTGAAGGCCATTTGCCTGCCTTAAACTCTCCAGCCACTGCTGCTGCTTTGTGTTACTCCAGTCAAGTTTGTAAAATGGATCCTTCCCATAACTAATTCATTTTGGATTTAACAAGAGAAATGGAGATGAGCACCAACCCCCAGAGTCAGACACGACTGGACTTAATGTCAGGGGAAAACCTTTACCTTAACCTATCAAGGAGTTCCCTGATTTAGATTGAAAATTAGGTCCACTGACCTGAAAAATCTTGTTGTCCCTTAATCCCAGGTGCAAACGGGTGAAACCAGAGATTTCTTAAGATCTGTCACCTGATAATCTCTTCATTATTACTTAAGACATTCTGGAGTCAATGTATGTTTACTGAAAACAGGTGCTGAGGCAAAGGCCTTGAAAACCTGAGTCATGTAAACTGGAAAGCCTTTAGTAAACTGGGGATCACAGCTGTAGGGAACTCTCTGGATGGCCCCTATGGCATTCCCCATGAGACATCCATCCTCCAGTTGCTATTTTGTAATTTTTGCATAGTTTTGGTGCACATTCCAAAAGCATTAAAAGCCTTGCTTATTTATTTATGTATTTATTTACTGTGTTTTATATCCCACCCTCTCTCCTTTGTAGAGGGACTCAGAGTGGCTAATAGTTGGCAACATTAGATGCCATTCAAGCATAAGACAACATTTTGTTGAAGGTTTTCAAGGCTGGCATCATTAGGTTTCTGTGAGTTTTCCGGGCTGTATGGCCATGTTCCAGAAACATTATCTCCTGACGTTTTGCCCACATCTATGACAGGCATCCTCAGAGGTTGTGTGAGGTCAACCTCTGAGGAGGCCTGCCATAGATGTGAGCAAACATCAGGAGAGAATGCTTCTGGAACACGGCCATACAGCCTGGAAAATTCACAGCAACCTAATTAGACAAAATCATTTGCTTAAACTTACATACACCCACCACCTACCTAACACAGGATAAAAACTAGAGTGGTTGGTCCAGCTTCCCCTGAGTGATTATCTGATCAGTGTCCCAGAGGGACAGCATGTGGATGCAACTTCCTCTTGGGTAGTCATGCCTTTCTGTTGTGAGAGGATGCTTTTCAGGAGTCCTCTCTGCAATGTGAAGCTAGTTGTGCATTGGGATCTCAGGCCGGTTTATGAGAGTTTTTCAGACCTCAGCAAAATCTGACCTGGGCCAAACCAGCATTGTTCACTTGAGTCCACCATCAGTTCTCCATCAGTAGAGCATATTAAAAAGGGTCCAGCCATCATGGATAGTACCATTTCCCATTTCGTGAGGTTGTCAGCAGCATTTAAAACCAACTCTCCGAAATCTTCCAGGCACTGTTATTCCCAGGTGGGAGATGCTTTTACACACCTGCAGTGATATAGATCTCCGCAGCTCATTTTGTGCCAAGGCAAAAAAGCCCAAAACAAATGCCCTTTTCATTCAGTGCCAAGGGCCCGCATTCCACTTTGCTGCCAGCAAACAAAGGCACCAGCCACTTGTGGAACCCATGAGTAATCCTCCAGTGCCATTTGTGGCAGGGGATGCCCAGAGATCATCCAGTGCCCCTGAAATGCAGCTGGCTCTGGGGTCAGGCTCCTCACTGTAGGTAATGTCCAAATGCAGGGAAAAGGCAGAGAGAGAGAGAAATATAATAATCTCCTTGAGCCAGCCATTACGTAAAATGTTTGTGGCAGATTTGTGCAGGCAACCCTCTGGGCTAAATTCTGCTTCTGGTGACCAGAGGCAAATAACCTATAAAGGTACTTATTATGTTCTGGAGAAAGCTGATCTTTAGTATTATGAATGGGCTGAAAGCCTTTCATTGTCTGGAGGAAATTCATCCAGCCTGAATCTACTTCTAAACAGACACGGTCAGGTCGTCTGTGGGGTTTTGCTGTTTTCCAGATGGACTAGACGGTTTCTTCTGTGTGTGGGCTGGAGCTTTGTGATGTCGCCAGTTTTCCCTTGCCGGAGCTTACACAGTGACGATATTTGTGTGGTGGCCTGGATCCCGGCACCTGGAAGAAACTGTTGAATGAAAGTATGCCAGCCTGACACCAGTGCATTAAGAAACTCGGCAGCCTGTTACAGCTTCCTTGTTGCTCTTGACTCGCTATTTCTGGCTTTGGGATTATCTGCCCCCTTCATTTGCACTGATGATACTCTTCCCAGGGAACAGGCCTACCTGGAGGCACTTGGCCTTATTATTAGGTGACTAATTATGAAAATTCTGCCACCCTGGATTGGTAATGTGCAGCGACATGTTTACTCAGAGGAACGTTGCAATAACAAAGAAAATCTATGAATGTTTACTCAGATGAAAAACATATTAAGTTCAAAGAACTTATTGTTGCTGTGTGCTTTCTGACTTATGGCAACCCTACCATGCAGTTTTATTGGCAAGATTTTCTCAGAGAAAGTTGCCCTTTGCATTCCTCTAAGGATTTTTTTTTCAGGTCAAACGCGACTTGAGAAACTGCAAGTCACTACTGGTGTGAGAGAATTGGCCATCTGCAAGGACATTGCCCAGGGGGTGCCTGGATGTTTTTTGATGTTTTTACCATCCTTATGGGAGGCTTCTCTCATGTCCCGCATGGAGCTGGAGCTGATAGAGAGAGCTCATCCACGCTCTCCCTGGGTTGGATTCGAACCGGCAACTTTCAGATCAGCAACCCAATCTTCAAATCATCAATCTTGGCAGCACAAGGGTTTAACCCACTGCACCATTGGGGGCTCCTCCTTCTAAGGATGAGATTATGTGATTTGCCCAAGATCACCTCAAAGGCTTCCATGGCTGAGCAGAGATACAAATCTTGGTTTCCAGAATCGTAGTCCAACACTCAAACAACTATAGTACTCTGACTCCCATGTAAATGCACAGAGGGCGACTGTCTGAGTTCATTGAGACATTTTCAAGTAAGAGGACATAAGGCTGGAGATCTCAAGCCTATGATGGTTTATCCAGGAGTAAGACTCACTTGGATGCTTAGAGTGCATCTATATTGCACTCTGGCACCATGAGATGCAGACCCAATCTTAAGAAATGGGGCTACAAAGTGGAGTCCACAACATGCGAGTGCGGAGAAGAGCCAATCACAGACCACCTACTACAATGCAGTCTGAGCCCTGCCACATGCACAATGGAGGACCTTCTCACAGCAACACCAGAGGCATTCCAAATGACCAGCTTCTGGTCAAAGGAAATTTATTATGATGTCAACTTAACTTTTCTTAACTTTTGTTTGCGTTTTAAATACAGTTAAAGATGCCTATAAAAACAAAGGCATCTTTAACTGTACCCTCAATTCACTTCTGACAGATAAATAAATAAATCTACACTGTAGAATTAATGAAGTTTGAAACCACTTTAACTGGCTTGGCTCAGTGCCATGGAATTATGACAGCTTTCTCAACCAAAAAATGATAGTGTGTCACCAAAGCCCTGTACCTTTCTCAAAAGTGTATAG